GAAAATAGACCATCCGAGAAAACTGATTTCATTTTCATTGAAATTTTATTTACAGTGGACGGAGTCGTGATTAAATTATGAAGCAAAACGTTTGCTATAGCGTTAATAACGGGTTGGGACACTTCTATGATGTATACCTTAGTTCAGTTGTCAGGGTACGCTTCTAAAGGGGAGATTTATTTTCTTGAACGAACCTCTCATCTAGTGAGAATTTGCGGAGAACTACGCAGATAACACAGAATGTCTCAAGGACGTCCATTTTATGCACTAAGAATGGGACATTATGAAGACGTTTTTCTGATGGCCTTAGTGCGTCGTTAAGGGACGTCCCGACACGACATAAAACAAACATTCTTCAGATGTTTTGTTATGTCTTTCGGAAGAGATGCAATGTTTACAATTCAGCTTTTTAAAAAGCAGGAAATATTAGTGAAATCCAACTGAACATTGAAGTGACATATTTTCTTGTTTACCCAACCACGATTGAAAGTGTCTAACTTATTTGTAGCACTGCTTAAAGATTCATAAACATATTTCTTAATTCAATTTCATTATTTTGAACTAGGCAAAAACAAGTCATTGCAGATTACAGAGGCGCTCACTAAACATTTCTGTGAATGGATCTAATTCTAACAATATCGACAATTTATCTGGTGAACCGCAAATCTCTATCTTGGGGCCTCTTCTCTTTACTATTTACACTGCAGATATTTTCAACAGCATTCAGCACTGTAAAATGCAAGCATATCCCAAAGATACTAAGCCATATTTTAGTTTTTACTCTGGGGTTGCTCATATTGTCGAGGTTATTGTTAATAAAGAGTTGACTCAAAACATAACACGTTCACTGTCTCACATAATGTACGACTGAATTTAACTAAAGTTATTCTCTTTTTTGGTTCAAGAAGTCATTATTAATTTAATAATGTGAGACTCCAGCTTGACGGTGCTCTTCTTGAAGTTAGCGATTATGCTAGAAACTTAGGGCTTATTATTGATAGCAATTTGGGCTCTTCTGAGCATGTAAAAACCCTCAGAAGTAAGGCTTATGTATTATTGGAGCTATTTATAGCAACAGACTTATGCTTGGTCTTAAAATAACTGCTAGTTCGCAGTCATTTTAGCTGTTGTGATTTTATGTATGGCTCTTGTTTAGTAGACTCCAAAGGGTCCAGAGTAGGTGCTGCAGGTTTAGTGTATGGGATAAGGAAGCAGGATCACATTTCACATAAAATCAAGGAGTGTCATTGGTTAAATTTGGGAATAGAAGATACCTTCATTTAAACATATTTAATCATAAACTTTTGAATGATATTTACTCTTGTGATTCTCTATGCCCTAATTTTTCAACCCGGTCCTCAGCTCATTCTGTGAACATTAGACGTAAATTGACCTTCACTAGGTCTCAACATCGAATTACTTTGTTCTCTAGATGTTCTGTCTATAATTCTTCTAGCATGCAATTTGCTGCCAAAAGAATTAGATTAATAAAAACAAACATTCTTCAGATGTTTTCTTATGTCTTCCGGAAGAGATGCAATGTTTACAATTCAGCTTTTTAAAAAGCAGGAAATATTAGTGAAATCCAACTGAACATTGAAGTGACGTATTTTCTTGTTTACCCAACCACGATTGAAAGTGTCTAACTTATTTGTAATACGGTTTAAAGATTCATAAACATATTTCTTAATACAAGTTCATTCTTTTGAACTAGGCAAAAACAAGTCATTGCAGACAGAGGCGCTCACTAAACATTTCTCTGAATGGATCTAATTCTAACAATATCGACAATTTATCTGGTGAACCGCAAATCTCTATCTTGGGGCCTCTTCTCTTTACTATTTACACTGCAGATATTTTCAACAGCATTCAGCACTGTAAAGTGCAAGCATATCCCGAGGATTGTCAGCCATATTTTAGTTTTTACTCTGGGGATGCTCATATTGTCGAGGTTACTGTTAATAAAGAGTTGAATCAAAACATACACGTTCACTGTCACATAATGTGCGACTGAATTCAACTAAAGTTATTCTTTTTTTTTGGTTCAAAAGTCATTATTAATTTAATAATGTGAGACTCCAGCTTGACGGTGCTCTTCTTGAAGTTAGCGATTATGCTAGAAACTTAGGGCTTACTATTGATAGCAATTTGGGCTCTTCTGAGCATGTAAAAACCCTCAGAAGTAAGGCTTATGTATCATTAGAGCTATTTATAGCAACAGACTTATGCTTGGTCTTAAAATAAAGAGAACATTGTGTCAACTGCTGGTTCGCAGTCATATTAGCTATTGTGATTTTATGTATGGCTCTTGTTTAGTAGACTCCAAAGGGTCCAGAGTAGGTGCTGCAGGTTTAGTGTATGGGATAAGGAAGCAGGATCACATTTCACATAAAATCAAGGAGTGTCATTGGTTAAATTTGGGAATAGAAGATACCTTCATTTAAACATATTTAATCATAAACTTTTGAATGACATTTACTCTTGTGATTCTCTATGCCCTAATTTTTCAACCCGGTCCTCAGCTCATTCTGTGAACATTAGAGGTAAATTGACCTTCACTATGCCTCAACATCGAATTATTTTGTTCTCTAGATATTCTGTCTATAATTCTTCTAGCATGCAATTTGCTGCCAACAGAATTAGATTAATAAATGTCAATAAAATTATATAAATATTCTTATATTATACCTTTTTCATTCATATTAGGTATCTACTTCTTCAACCAAACTATTTACGTACTCGTTTATATTCCACTGCTTGCTTACTTTTTGTGTAATATTAATCTTCTACCTTGAATGCAGCTTATAAATCGTTTATCATATATGTATGTACCAGCTCCCAATTAAATGCACAAAAAATGCACTTTATGACAAAACAAAATTAAAACGATGTTTTTTAGTCAACTCTATACACATCATGAAGTAACCAGATGAAAAGGATTTGGAATACTGCTGCCAACAGGTAGCTGAAAAAAAGCGAAAAAAGGGTCGTGCTGCTTTGAGCAGTTGTATAATCGGGTTAACAAGGGGACTCTATGTTTCTTTCGCATTCGCCGTGCCCAGGGGTTTAGGTCTCTGCTTACGCTAATGCTTCAGAATGAAAAAAAATGGAAAATAAAACATCAAACACAGAAAGGGTTTTCTATGCACCGAGATTGCTAGCATAGTGACAGCTACTTAAATTGGCTGATTCAGAAATCATCCCAAAATCGCACCGAATACCCAAAGACTTTTTTATGGGCGCCTTCAGCAAATATGTGTCTCGTACTATACGTCAGCAGTATCTGATTGCCTTGGAGTATAAACTTTATGTTTAAATTAATAACCTAATTACTGGATATAATATAAATAAATTTTTAACTGCATGCTAACGACACTGGAGCAATTCTTAATAATCTACTGCCTTCAAATATTGGGAACCCACTTAGTGAGCTGGTAAGACCAAACATCACTGTCAGTTCGCATTTTCTTTTTTTAGACGCAGTCAATGCTATAATAACCGTACGACACTCCCAAGCAGATCAAAAATGCAGTACACTAGCACACCTAGGTACCTACCACACTTCACTAGAACTATCAAAATATTTCAATTTACAGTTTGTTTTTTATATAACTGGAACAAATCTAGACCTCATAATGTGCATCTAGATCTAGATCTTATGCATAGATCCCTTAATGTACTTACCAGGAATATATAATAGGGTGACTTCGAAGTTGAGTCATTTATTTTAACAGTGTGTAGATCTGACCAAAAGAAATGTTTTTTCCTTTACCATTTTTCTGATAAAATTAAAGTAACAAAGTTATAGCCCTTTGGAAGTTTGAGTACCGCCCTGTCTCAATAATATCATGTGCTCGTGTTTGGCAACAACGGATATAATCCGCCTTATCGGTTCATCGCATCGGAAACAAAAAAGCGAAGGAATTTGGAACGATGTTTTTACAATTATGTTATTCAGTTCAGTTATACATACAGTCAGTGTCAGTCGCGTGTGAATAGTGTCTGTTGCGTGGCTCAAACGAAATAAAAAAAGGCACATGTTTATGCGGATCGGTTTCCCAATCGAGTGCAACCAACCCCCCGTGCCTTTGTTAAGGTAGTACAGCGGGCTCGTGAAGCAGGTGACTTAAGACCTCACAGGGGACCTCACGATCAAATACAGGTCCGCACTGAAATACTTGTCGGGAGGATACTTTATAAAACAAGGTAAACATTTTTTTTTATTTTTACACACATATTTTGGTTTATCTTCCTTCTACAATCATTATCTGAAAATTAATGACTCAACTTCAAAGTCACCCTGTATAAGTAGTCAATTTTAGAGCAAATCGAAAGAAACATCGATAGTAGATTCGCGTTCTGATGGAACCGCATATAGAAATCACATCGAAATGTAGACTAGATAAGCTCAAGAAGACAAAGGATTGACCAATTAAATTTTCTCTGCGTTTTTACGTGATTGTTACGGATATTTTTTGAACCAACAGTCCGATTTGAATGGATTTTTTTTTTTTTACAGAAAACTTTAAAAGGTTCGAGTGAAAACTACCCCCACCCCAAAATAAACTATAGCAGATTTGTTTGCAACTCTCATAACCACTCAGAATCTTTTTATTCCAAAAATCCTTTGATTTACTTCATTTTATGTTTCATAAAAACACGCCACCTCACACTCGAGAAAGATATATTTTAAAAACAAAACTTGGATGCCATCTAACGGACAAACGGAGCACCTTTACGTAGAAGTAAATCATGTTTAATGGACTTATTTTGAGTCATAAAATACGTGGGTACTTCTATGTCCACGGAATGCTGGGACACCCTATATACGACACCCAGATTTATTAATATAAATTAGCTACGGTCCTGTAGCGTCGATCTGCTTGACATCTGTCCGCGAGACAACTAACTATCGATCCGTCTCGCACTGACTTGAATCGTCTGTTCAGATTTCCAACCAGTTTCCCAGGCGCTACGCAGCGGTGAAAAGATAAACTACTATTAAGAGATATCGACGTTGCCACGTTGTCAACAATACAAGGTTTATTATTCCGTATAAGGTCCAATTTCGACGTAAGATAAATTTCTGTAAATCAAACGTCATGCTTAGCGACTGAAAATATACAACACGTCGTTCAGATAAAATGATTAATTGCACTTTGTGAGTATTTGGTAAAGATGTTCTTGTCTATCTGGCAATGTTGCTTGAAAGTTGTCAATAGTGTCATAATCACAATGTCAGATGACAGCTGTGAATAACCTCACAATATTGCTGGGCAACATTTTAAATGTATCCTTTAGTTTTCAATATTTAAATACCTTTTCATACTTGTCGCTTCTAAAAAGTTAGTGAGGTGCTCATATAATTACCATGAATTTCCTGAACTCTGTGGTACGAAAAGTGTCTCAAACTATAAACCTGGGGGTAAACATCACACAGAAGACATCCCTGGATCTTCCATCAGTAGTTTCTAGATTATCTAACTTAGCAATTCAAGGTACGCACCCTGTTCACTAAATCATATTTACGTCAGTTCCTAATTTAAGTTGCAACCTACGTTAAGGCATCAGTTCATTTTGTAAATGGAAACCTAGTTTTAACTGTGGTTTTTCCTATATCATTAATTAACGTTTTTACAGTTTCACATCTATTTTCCTTCAAGCATGAGCTTTTTTGCTGGTTTCTTCAATATGCCTGGGAAAAAAATTCTGACTTTATGCGCTAAAGTGTCGTCTTACCAGACTAATAGGTCTAGAGAACAATCTTGCCATACACCATTCAAGAATGAATATACAAGCAACAAAGATTAGGACACTTGACTCAGTGTTATACAGCACCACTTTCTGGAACCTTTTGATGTTGATATAACCTAAACTTATCTAATTTCTTTTCAGGAAGAGGTATGGCGACACTAAATCAAATGCATAGAACTGGCCCACATATCAAACCAAGGATACCAAAGCGACCTTTAGATGGAAACCCTTTCATGAAGGGAGTTGTCTTAAAAACATTGATAAAGAAACCAAAGAAACCTAATTCAGCTAACAGAAAGTGTGTTTTGGTTAGGCTTTCTAATGGCAAAGAAATGGTGGCTTACATACCAGGCATTGGACATAATTTACAGGTAAATTGGGGTAGCAGCAAGTTTATTTATTTCTTAAAAAAATTAACTGATGCTCCTAATGTTTCTTCTCAGATGAATAATCAGCTGATCAGACTGGTGCATATTGTATGAATATAGATCAAATATCTACTATTTATCTGAACTACTGAAATCATATAATCAGACACATCTCTTTTACATATAATCTTAGAGATGCTCAGTTCAGTTCTGTTTCGTCAGTTTATTGTCATTCCTTTTATCAAAACTAAGTTTAAAATGGTTTAAATTAAGTGGGATTTACAGATTTGACAATCTCATCTCTCTTTGGACTGTCTTGCTATACTTGCAAATCAAATACAACTAAACTGTCACATGATTAACTCTTTCTAGAAAAAAGATCTATAATTTTTTCCCGATTTTAGGAACACAACATTGTCCTGTGTAGGGTAGGAAGAGTTCAGGATTGTCCAGGTGTAAAGTTGAAATGTGTTAGGGGGAAATATGACTTAGGACATGTAATTGTTAATAGAAAGTAGTTATATATACAATGTGCAAATAATTTCATAAGTGAACATTTTATTAAATGTTTTATAAATCTATTGGTAGCTTATTTCCCATAACAAGTAAGGAATGAATTTTCCTAAATAGGCTCTACAAACCACTGTATCACTGTGAGGCATCTTCTTGACATGTTTTGCTGGAAGGTTATTTTGGAACTATTCTGTTTGCCATGCTTTTTACTTACCTCAAAACTACAGATTCAGCAGAATCTTCATATAAAATAGGCCAAGTGGTGAATGGTTGGAAGCTTTCTCCTACATGTCATATTAGAGGGCACATTTCAAAAATATTCAGCATTTATAGGAAGCTCCAATTGGACCATATAATCATTTTTACATGGATTACCCTAAAGTTTGCATAATAGGAAAAATAAGTCAATATTATATACATAATTATTTTGATAATTTGTTGTTGAACTATAAACTAATTTGCCTATTTGCTAGGCATATATAATGCTCATTGATCTTAATAAATTTCAATGAATGTTTTTGATAAAAGAAGTTGTAGTTCCGTCAAGATTTTCCATTTGTACAAACTGTAAATTCTCAGTATAAAATTGCTATTAACTGTCATCATTAATATTAAGCAACTCAAAAATTGAACCTTGCCAAGGTTAAAATTTTTAGGCCCATCCAGAATTGGCGGAACAATTATATGGTATTTGGAGATTTTGATGCACACAGATTTTTTTATGAGCATAAATGTCAGTAAGTTGGAAAACATACAAAAATCATGCTTACACCACACAGAAGGGCAAATGAGAGGTGTAGCCGGCCAAAAATATTTTATAACCATTTTCTACAAATGTCACCCTGCTGATTTCTGAAAAACCTATCCTAATGAATCTAGGACCTTAGGTTTTTGAAATATGGTATTAATATTACAAATTATAACCGATTCCATCAACTTTTTCTGGGTTTTGCAGCACAGCTAATTAAAGTAATTTACCAACCTTCAAGTTTTTAAACAGCTTTCAAACATTAATTACAATGTCACAGTTTTCTATAGTTTGGGTTAAAGAATAAAAAATATACAATAATTTAATATTATTTAATAATATGAGTCAAATGTATGCCTCTTTTAAACCTGATCTGTCAGAACTTATAACAAACCGACTTGAATAGCCTTCTCAAAACGTCTGAAGATCACTTGTTAAAGATAGACCCTAGTAAATCGACGCCTATATACTAGGGGACAATATAATATCATTTAGGGATTCCGTGAAGGAATTGGGCTTAGTGATAAACTCTAAACTAAAGTTTAGAGAGCACATTACTCTGTGCCTAAGAAAAGCATATTCAATGTTAAAAATAATTTACCCACATAGACATTACCTATCACAAAATACTAAAGCCACGCTCAGCGAAGCTTTAGCGTTATCCCACTTCAACTTTGCTTTTATGGCGTATGGCCCATGCCTTGATAGTGTGGAACTAAAACTGGCTCAAAAAGCTCAGAATTCTTGCCTGAGACTGATATTTGGCATAAGGGGTAGCCAAAGAGTATCCCACAAACTACCTGAACTGGGATGGTTGAATATGGCTCAGAGGCGTACCTTGCACTCTACTTCCTTTTTTTACAAGGTTATAAAATATAAAAGCCCCCTTATCTTCACTTAAAAATTAGTTACCGGACCTGATGTACATAATTTAAACATTAGAAGATTGAATTTGATTACAATACCATCAATAAAGAATCATTTAAGAAATCATTCTCATATCAAATTGCCTTTTTAGTAAATAAATTCAAATTTGAGGATTTTCTCATAGAAAACACTTCTCCTGTTCCCCCTTTTCTCTCCTTCTCTTTCCCCTCGCCTTCGCTTCTCACAGAATCATTTAAGAAATCATTGTCATATCAAATTGCCTTTTTGGTAAATAAATTCAAATTTATAGGTTTTCTCATAGAAAACACTTCTCCTGCTCCCCCTTTTCTCTTCTTCTCTTTCCCCTCGCCTTCTCTTCTCACTCTAAATTTCCATTTCTCTACTTACTATACTTCGCTATATTTCTTAATGTTAAAACATTATTAATTATCAATGTCTTAATAGCCATTTGTATTACTATAGAATTGTTTAAATTTGTTTGTTTTTTTTTGCTCTAGCAGCTGCTTCTTTAAGGGGTAAGCTAGTATAGCCCTTTATTCTCTTAAGGCTTTTTTTTGTTTGTAAGCTTTGTATATACTGTTTAATGATGGTAATAGATATTATTATTATTATATACTCGTACTTCACCGTACAGTAGTCCTTATGTTATAAAAATATTCTCAGCAGACGGATCGCGTATCTACAGGCTGCAGCTCCCGGCCGCGTACCGTCGGCTTTGGTGAGTGTTCTGTTGTTCTGGTATAGTGTTTCCCGTGCTCTGACCGCGCTGCTACGTCTAACCGGCGCGACGCGACGTTTCCTGATCCACTATCGGTAGCACAGGGAAAGAATTTGTATGGACCTATTTGACTGGCTTTTTTCTTAGAGTATCCTTTATGAACTGATAACGACGTTGCGTGTGAAGTGCAAAGTCAACTTACTTGACGCCATTTTTTGCTGAATGATTCATTGTTCATTTTATATCTGCTTTAACAAACTTGCTTAACCTGAGCAAAATCCTTAAAGATCTAATCCCTTTATGAAATAAAGAAAGGGTCTATTTTCTCTAATCCCTTGTTTAAAATTTTCATGAAAAGATTAAGAGGGTAGCGTAGGTTTTGCGAGGATGGTGGTTGACGTGTCCTAAACAAACTGTGACAGGTAATTTCCGGTTAGAACGAAGTGTGCCACGACTGCGATAATCCAAACTACAAAGGGTTGTTCGCAAGCAAGATTTTGCCTGTCGGTTATGAATTTTTGTTAGCATTCCTTGAATGGGATTGCAAACAGACATGCTTTTATGGCGTAACATACGAGGGCGCTCGACAAACTATTCGATATTCAATAATAATTCTACAGCAGACCATTTGAAAAAGAAGTAGCGCCAATTACGTCAACTGAGAACATACATGGTAGTCTATGTTCACTCTGCGCATAAAATGACAGGATGTTCATTAAGCATCTGTCCAAACTTCAAGGATTAATTTCCTGGGTAACTAAGGGAGAAATGAGTGTTGTAGGTACATGACATAAAATAATTCAGAAATAATGAATATCAAAATTTTATAACACATACGTCGCGAAATAAAAAAGTACGTCAATTTCAGGGTGGGTTTTGTAATGAAATATCATTCAGAATGCACAATGCAAATTTTTCAAGAACTCATTCTTAGTCTTATTAATTTTCGGCGAATTTAGTTTTTTTCACTTAATTTCATACCAATTCTGTACATTTTTTACACCCTGACCTTACATGTGGTGTGTTGGAAATATAAAGTACTTATTCAGGTCCCAAATGGTGAAAAAGCTCCGAGAACTTTTCTTTTCATATAAAAAATGTATATTTTTTGGAACACTATCGTTGGCCTTACTAGGAACCCAGGTATCCAAATAAGGCCATGATCTGGTTTTTAACCCAGATATGCTTACAGCTCAATTAAATTATAATAAAGTATGTTTTCTGCAAAGCCATTCTATATGAAGCGTATATTAAACAAATTTATTATTTTTTAAATTTTATTTTAGGAAAAAGTGTAAAAAAAATGCCGTACAAAAGATGGTACACTAGGCACATAGGCGAACATTAAGGTTTAGTATTGAAGGACAAAAAACATTTTACATGCATCCCTACATTGCACTTAGAGCACCTTGTTTTTGCTCTATGATGACATAAGCCACATCTAGTTGGCTTTTCTTGTGGTATCACAAAATGATCTAAACGATCATAACGAATATTTATATATTCATTAGCCGAAGGACTTAATCTAGAAAAAGATGGCGGTTTCTTGTTTTGTTGTCACAAGACTGTGGCAAGCCGCCGTCTAAATAATAATTGATCCATACGTTCTCCGTGCGATCTATAAAGTTGCCAGGAATTATGAACAGCCATATCAATACAGTGGCTGATCAATGAAAAATACCACTTTTTACCCCGGATGAAAATGCGATACAGACCAATATTTTAACGCCGCCCAGATTTGCGTTGTATACATTTACAAGATGAGGCTGTTCTACCTAAAATCAAAAGCATTTTTGCAAACATTGATTTTCTTGCAGATTGTGTTTCTTACCTGGATTCTTTTTTATCCTTTTGAGATTATCGCTTTACGAAGCTAATTGGTTGCAATCCTGCGGCATTTGAACAGAGTGTTACTAAATTATTGTCATGCCATTTTACTGCAATTATGTTTGTATCGGAAATTTTGTTGTAATCGTAACTACCTCTTTTTTCCCTTTTCATAATTTTAGAATCTCTGAATTGGACGCCTTGTAAACGATTTTGTCTAGCAGTACCAGTCGCAAAGCAATTTTTTTCTGTCAATTTTACCATAAGAGGGAGATAAGTGAAAATATTGTCGAAAACTAAATGAAACTTTTCATTTGACTATTTTCTCCTCAATGCATCAGAATACTCTAATACCACACCAGCACCAACCCCCAAATCTGCATAATTCTTACTAATGTTGGTTGACGACCGTTGGTAAGGTTCAACCCAGTAAACGTAGCCTAGTCTTGATGCGCCAACCCATAATTTATAACCGTATCGTATAGGTTTTCCGTGAATGAACTGTTTGCATGAGTGTCTCCCAAAATAAGGAACCATTGCCTCATCTACACTATGCATTTCTGTAAAAATTCCATGTTCCATAAATTTTTGATTCAGACTCGCAAATAAAGGTCTAACTTTTGCAAACTTATCTCCTTGCTGTAAATTGTAGTTATCTACTAAATGGAAATTTGACATAATATACTCAAATTTATCTCGTGTAAGCGCTTCTGTGACGAATTGATTATTAGCACCATCTCTTTCACGTTCCCAGAACATTCTTCTACGTGGTACATCGACATAACCACTCAATATTAGTGTTCCAATAAATGCTATTATTTCATACTCTTGCACCTCTTGTTGGCGATTCTTTTGCCTGGCATATCTATTTGTTTCCGTTATTATGC